AGAATTCAGAATCCTGAAATAATCCTGCACACCTATGGTTAATTGATTTTCAACAGGGGTGCCAGGACAATGCAATGGGCAGGTGGTGGGCGGGGGTGGGTGGGTAAGAATAGCCTTTTCAAAAAACGGTGCTGGGACACTGGATAGCCACATGCCAAAGATCGCGGTTGGACCCCTACCTCACATCACATACAAAAATTAACTCAAAATGGAATACTGACCTAAAGTTAAAAGCTAAAACTCTCAAACTCTCCTAAGACAACACAGGAGTTAAGTCTTTGTGACCTTGGGTCAGGCAGTGGTCTTTTAGATAGGCCACCAAAAGCATACACAACAAAAGAAAAAATAAATGAACGGACTTGATCACAATCACAAACTTTCGTGCTTTAAAGGACAACATCAAGAAAGTGAAAAGATAACCCACAGAATGAGAGAAAATGTTGGCAAATCATCTATCTACAGAGGTCTTGTACCTAAAATATACAAAGAACTCTTACAACTCCATAATAAAAAGACAAAAACCCAATTCAAAAATGGGCCAAGGATCTAAACAGACATTTCTCCAAGGAAGATATTCAAATGGCCAATAAGCCCATGAAAATATTCTCGACATCATGAGTCATGAGGAGTATGCAAATCAAAATCACAATGAGATACCACTTCACACACGCCAGGATGGCTGTAATCAAAAAGCCAGATGATAACAAGCCTTGTCAAGGATGTGGAGACACTGGACCCCTCTCCACTGTCGGTGGGGGTGCAAAAATGGTGCAGCCGTTTAGGAAACTGTCTGAGAACTTCTCAAATGGTTAAGCATAGAGTTACCACATGACCCAGCATTTCCACTCCTAGGTATATACCTGATAGAGTTAAAAACGTGTCCACACGAGGACTTGTCCTTGAATGTCCACAGCAGGTTTCTTCATAATAGCCCCAAACTGGAGACAGCCTATCCATCAATTGGTGATGGATAAACAAATTGTGGTATATCCAAACAGTGGAATACTACTTAAAAATAGAAAGAATTACCCGTAACATAGAACAACGTGGATGAATCTCAAATGAAAGAAGTCAGACACGGAAGATCAAATACCATGTATTTCCATTTATATGAAATTCCAGGAAAGGCAAAGCTATGACAAAAAGCAGATAGTGGTTGGGGCTGGCCTGGTGGCACAGTGGTTAAGTTCGCACGTTCCACTTTGGTGGCCAGGGGTTCGCTGGTTGAGATCCTGGGTGTGGACGTGGCACCGCTTGTCAAGCCATGCTGTGGTAGGCGTCCCACATATAAAGTAGAGGAAGATGGGCAGGGATGTTAGCTCAGGGCCAGTCTTCCTCAGCAAAAAGAGGAGGATTGGCAGCTGATGTTAGCTCAGAGCTAATCTTCCTCAAAAAAAAAAAAAAACAAGCAGACAGTGGTTGCCAAGCATGGGGTAGGTAGGGCAAAGGGACTGCAAAGAAGCATGAGAGAACATTTTGGGGTTCATGCTAACGTCACACATTGTGATTGAGATGTGGTTAAATGACTATACGTTTGTCAAAATGCATGAAACCGTACTTTGAAATTGGTGAATTTTATTCATGTAAATTATATCTCAATAAATTCAATTTTAAAACAGACTGAAAAGAACCCCATTACCAGAATAATGGTGGATAGCTTTTGAGTAATGAGGTTATGGCTGATTCTTCATTTCTCACTGCTCTGCATTTTCCCAGTTCCCTTTAATGAAGAGACCTTATATTTTAAAAAAGGAAGCACGAATTGTAAAATGAAAGCCAGCAGCTGCTCCTGCCGACGTTCTCCACTAGACTCTAGGGATCTGAAGTCCCTAGATTTGAACCTGGCTCTGCAATGGCTGTGGGGTGTGACATTGAGTTAGTCACTTTACCTCTCTGGACCTCAATTTCCCCTCCTCCCTCCAAAATGCTGGGGCCGGGCAAACCACAGCACAGTGATTCCCGCTCTGCCTTTCTGCAGGACTTGCAATCGATACTACTCAACCCAGCTTTAGAAAACAACGTCCAGTACTGGTTGATTAAAATTATTTTTCCTCCACATCCCACAGACGCTGCTCCTGACGTGGTAAGGTACTCCGTCAATGCTCTGTGAAAGGCCTGATTTACAGCTGAAAGTAAGGTTTACTCACTGTGGCTATCCCTACAGACTATAAGTATACACACACACGCATGCACACGCTCCCGTGCTTGCACATGCATGCACACGCATTTGCAAAGGGCTGGATGCAAAGCTGGAATAGAGGCTGTCTCCCAGGGAGGGACCAGTGCACGAAAGAGAAAGTGGTTGTTTCCGGCAGAGGATGGAAAAAGGGGCATTGGCTGCTGTTTGTCTCATCTCAGAACGTGCCTCGGCCTCCATACTTCACGTGTGTCAGCTCCAGAACCCTCACCCGGCTTGTGGAGGGTGCTGACTAGCCCACTTTAAGACGAGAAGACTGAGGCCCGGAGAGGTGAAGAGGCTCAAAGGGATGAGAAATCAGGAGAGGCCCTTCCAAAATCCTAAAATTGCCATTGCCAACCTGTCTGCCGCTGGGGAAAGTCCCCGTGTCTCTCCTGGCTGTGGTCCTCAGGCAAGTTACCTAGCCATTTTGTGCCTCAATGTCCTTATCTATAAAGTGGAGCTAAAATGGGCATTTAACTATTCTGAGTTAAGCAGTTCTGAGGACTAAATAAGCTAATATGTGGAAAACTCTTAGAATAAGGCCTGGCACCAAGGAAGCTCAAATGACGTTAAGATACTTTTTATGAGCTGTGCAACTTTCGGCCAGTGATCATGTTCTCTGAGCCTCCATTTCTTCATCTGTCCAACGGGGATGATAATGTCAGCTGGTGAACAGGCTTGTTCAGGAGATCGGAGGAAAGACACACCTGACACCCAGTCATTGCTCACTAAACGTTCGCTATCTTTAGTATGACGCCTGCCAAAACCCACTCGTGAAGTGTCACCAGGGCAAGACAAGTTTTCTCCAGCACAGAAAGGAAGTTCATTAGTGAGAATTACCCCGTGCCATTCAGCACTCTTAATGAGATTGGTGTTATTCGTGGCTGATCCCCTTATCAGCAGGGCTGTGAACTGCGCAGATCATGACGCTTAATTTCTCTCTGTGGAGTCAATCCTCTAATCCCGACTCAGCCTGGCTGGCATTCAGCCTGGCTCCGTATGGCACTGCCAGTGCCGGCGAGGCATTCTCTGCCGGCGACCGACCAGAACAAAGCAGCCCAAAGCTCTTCCCAGAAAACAAGTCGGGATACGTGGGAGAGGCGGGGACCCCCACCGGGGTGCAGTCTCGGTTTGCATTTTTTTTTTTTTAAAGATTTTATTTTTTTCCTTTTTCTCCCCAAAGCCCCCCAGCACATAGTTGTATGTTCTTCGTTGTGGGTCCTTCTAGTTGTGGCACGTGGGACACCACCTCAGCATGGCCCGATGAGCAGTGGCCTGTCCGCGCCCAGGATTCGAACCAACGAAACACTGGGCCGCCTGCAGCGGAGCGCGCGAACCCAACCACTCGGCCACGGGGCCAGCCCCTCTCGGTTTGCATTTTAATGGCCTCTGCCCAACTGCCTGAGGGATGGAGAAGGGGCACCCTAGCCCTTCCCTAATTAGGCTCAGCTTCCAGAAGCTGGGGCAAGTGGAGGTGGGGTTCAGAGGAGTGGTGAGCCAGAGCAAGTTGTGGGAGTCTGGGACGCAGGTGGTGTGTTCAGGAAGTGGTCCCCAAGCAGCCTTCCAGAAGCTGTCGCTGGTTCCCATCAGGTCTAGTCTCAACGCCTTGAGCTGGCATTCAAGGCCTTTCCTGGTGCAGGAGGGTTGATGGCAAGGGCGAGCAGGAGGTGTGAGACACGTGAAGATGGAACCTGGGTGTGAGGGGGGCAGCTGGAGAGTGCAGGTTTGTGTGTCCTTGTTTTAGAGATGGAGACACTCAGAGAGGGGGAGGTTCCTGCCCGAGGTCACACAGCATGGGGCACACTAGAGCATGGAACTCATGCATCTTGGCTGCCAATCCAACCCTGTCCTGATTTTAATGAGTCCACTAGACATAAATAACACCCAAAAGATCACATGAATTAGGGCCTAGTGTCCAGCAGATACCCAATTAATCCATGCTGAATGAATGAGTGAACAAATGAATGCAGAGAGGTGACACGAACAGAAACCACTGGGCCCTGGGGATGCATCTATTATAGCACACAGCGTCTGCCTGAGTAAAACAGAAATGAGACCAGAAGCGGGCGCTACAATGACCAAAACCTAAATCGGAGGGGTTGGTTTGAAGGCTGGGTGGTCTACAGCGAGGGGCTGACGCTGCAAGCTGGAAAGCTGGCAGAACAGCCGGCAGAGGGTTGTCCGGACAGCAGACGACTCGCCTTTGGCTCCATGGCAGTCCCTGGACAAGCGGGCAGGGGCGTGGCCTGAGGATGTGTCAGAAATGTATGTCCAGGCCGCCCCACGCCTGCGGAGCCTGAAATGCAGGGTGGGGCCCGGAAATCTGTGCTGTAACCCGCCCCCAGGTGACGGGGGCCACTCCAGTCTGAGGACGGCTGCTCTGTGGGACAGTTACAGTGACGGCCACCTGCTCCCAGACGGGGCTTCGGCCCAGGTTGCCGGGGCTCAGGCCTCTCCGCCCCGTCTCCCACCTCTGCTCACCCGCCTCTCAAACCCCCTCAATTCCACCTCCACGTCTCTCTCCGGGTCAGCTCCTGTTTGGCCTTTAGGCTCAGCACAGGAGCCACAACCTTCCGGAAGCGTCCTTCAGCTCTGTCCCCCAATGGTCACCAAGCCCACGGCCCCCCCAGTGCATGGACAACCCTGTGTTCTGACTGACCATCCGGGGCTCCCTGAGGGCAGGTCCCATGTCCTGCGGTCATTTCCTGGGAGACAGTGGCTTTCACCAGGGCCCTGTGGCCGCCTCTGGCTTTGGCAGGATCTGCGGGGGATGAGGAGGGGGCTGAGCATCCCCCCGGCCAGGCAGCCGCTGGCCCCTTACCTGCGTGGGACTGCATGTGCTCCAGCAGGTTGTTGTAGAATTGGAACTGGATCCCGCAGGCGCCGCAGGTGTAGGGTTCTGGGGAGAGAAGCGAAGAAGCCATGTCAGGGCCAGACCAAGCCCGAAGCCTCTTGGCTGGGCTGCGGGCAGCTCTGGCACGGGGAACCCAACACGCACGGGAGCTCTGCACTTGGGGCCCTGGGCCCAGCCTGTCTGCTCCCCTGCCCACCACTGACTAGTGAGGGAGAGAGGAAGACGTGCAGATGGAGACCATCTAATCCAACCAGGCAGACATTTATTGAGTGCTCACTGTGTGCCAGGCAGTTCTGGGCCCTGGGGGGGTGTGGGGATGGTTGGGGGAGGACGACTAACGGGCCTGGAGCTCTCTCAGGGCAGAGACTGCATCTTATTTGTTCCACAGCCCAGTTCTCTGCTGGTGGAAGCGCACAGACAGGAATGAATGAATGAATGCATGAACAACCCAAACAAGGCGATGGACAGAGAGGGCAGTAAGGGCGGGGAAGGAGAGGCAGGAGGAAAGGGCAGGAAGTGGAGAAAGTCATAGAAAGGCAAGAGGAAGCGAGGATAAGATGAGGGAGGGGAGGGAGGGCAAGGGGGAAGGGAGAGGACCTTTATCTTTCATCCCTGTGTGCCCAGCACTCAAGTCAGGGCCTGGCACAGGGAAGACCAGAAGGAGGAAGAAGGGGTGCAAAGAGGAGTTAGGAACCCGGAGGAAGAGGACGGCTGAGATGGGGCTCGGAGAGGGGTCCTGAGGCTGCCCCGGGGAGTAGGAATGGGAAGGTTGGTGTCCCTGCCAGGGTCGGGGCTGGCAGAGGCAGGCTGCCCCCAGGGAGGGCTCTGCTCCGTGCCCTGTCCAAACTCCTCCGCCCGCCCGGGGCTGGGCCTCCTTCTGCCTCCACAGCTGCCGGGTCTGCCTGGGAGGGCGGCCCCAGGCCAGATGCTCTGGGGAGGTCCTGAGCCAGCGTGCGGCCAGCTGAGTTCATTCCCTGCCCTGCCTCGCCCTCTCCACCCCCCAACGGGACCATCACTTACTCTGCAGGAGAGGGAAAGGATTGGAAATCAGGGGACTTGGAGTTTCTGCAAAAGAGAAACAGTTCAGCTAAGTCTCTTCCAGCTCTGGTGCTCAGAGATGACTGTCACTATTTCCATTCTTAATAAGCAGTGAGCCAGATGTGGCTCTGAGGAGGGGTGGCATCTGGGAGCCAGGCTCACGTCTGGGGTGGGGCTGGGGCACCGGGCAGACCCAGATCAGTGAGGGCCGTCCCTCCAGGACACACTCAACTCTCAAAAAGCGAGCCCACAGGACGCTAAGGAGGAACGGTCCACGCGTGGCTGCCCACCCCACAGGACAGGGAGCTGGGGGCGGCTTCCAGGCACCAGGATGGGAATGTCTGGCACCAAAAACCACAGCCTCAGACGTAGGGGCCGGACGGACGACCCCAGGAATCCTGGCTCCACCACCCACAAGCTGGGGACCTGGGACAACAAGCACCCTCACCTGACCTCACTTTCCTCATCTGAAAAGTTGGGTAACAGTAACACCAACCCCCACCCCTGCCCCAGGGCTGTGGGAAGGACGGAAACAGACAAGACACACAGAGCTCTGAACACATGCCAGGCACACAGTAAGCGCTCAATAAATGGTGGCTGCCAGCAGTGGCAGCACTTGACACCAAGATTCCCAGTTCTGAGTGTCGGCCCTGGAGGAAGGAGAGGCAGCGGGTGCAGGCTGGCTGGCTGAGCGCGACACTCCCCAGGAGCCAGCGGTTCTGGTCCCAGCTCTGCACCTTACTCTTGGGTGTGCTCCATCACTTTAAGGCCACCTCACGGAGAGGCTGAGTGGGTGACATTTTTCAAAAGGGCGAAGCCGGTTGGAAAAGTCGGTTTAAAGGATCATGTCAACATTCTCGGGGCTCCTACAGCACCCCTTGTGGTATTCATCAAATCACTTGTTTTCCTTAAAACCACCGCACGTGAGTGCATAATCCACGCAAGGCCCTGGCTGGCCGTTCCCCGTGCCCAGGATCTGTGTGCTCTGCCCACGGGACAGCAGAGGAGGAATTTAGAGTCTGGTCCAAGTCACCAGCTTGCAGATGGTGCAACTGGGGTTTGAGCCTCGGCTGGAAACCCAAGCTGGAGCTCGGTTTCTATCTTCAAATCTGTGCTCCCAGCTGTTTCACAAAGCCCCTGACTGACCGTCCAGCCACGTCCATCATCTGTCTACACCCAGGCAGTGCCCAGCCCAGCGCCGGCCACAGGCCCACACCTAATTCAGTGAAGTAAACTTCAACTGTGCAAGAAAGTCAGCGGGCGCCTTACTGTATGTAACCAGCGTCAGAATTCTTTTCCCATCCTGCCCCGGCTGGCACTGAGTAGATTGGCTTGCTTGGGATCACCCACGGCGCTGGCAGGTGGCCCCCGTCTGCCAGGGAGATGGTCTTGGCTGTTCTCTCTGGTCGAGGGCTCGGCCAGCAGGCTCGGCCACCACCAGGAGGCGCCAAAATACCACCAGGGATCTCAGACAAACCTGCTCGGGCCAGTAGGGGCTGGAAGGGAGTGTGTGGATGGTCCCAGGTCCCAAGTGGGGCCAGAAGTTGGGGCCTCCGGCTCTTGGGCCACAGCTCTCTCTACTGTACCCCCTTGGCCTCTCCTGGAAAGAAACTGGCTGCCACGTTCACCCTACAAACAGCAATGGCTCACTTAGACCCGACGCTCCGGGGCCATCCGAGTGGGGACACGGCAGCCTGTGGGGAGGGGAAGTTCCTCTCTCCATGGGGAAGAGTCCCAGGCCTTGAGATGCCCCTGAGGCCCAGAGGGATGTCCGTGGAAGAAAGGGCCCCTCCCGCTCTGCCTGGCCCTGGCCTCCTCCCGCCAACACCCATCAGGCAGCAGGCAGACCCCAGCCCACAGAGCGCGTGCTGCCATGGCCGCGGGGAGGGCAGGAGCCGATGGCAGCGGCTGTCACGGGGCACACTCACCGCTGGAGTTTTGGGAACTGCTATTCGTCTCTTCAAAGTGGTTTTGTGCTTTGCCTTCTACTCTCCGACTGAACGCGCTTTCTGCTGGGGGCGGGGGCAGGAGAGAGCAAGGGAAAGCGATGGTGATCGGTCAGCATTAGGGCTGAGGGAGGGGCCTGCCAGCAAGGCTCAGAGGGTGAGGTACTGGCACCGCCCTGACCCCCGGGCTGGGTGAGTGCCCAGGGATTCATGCTGGGGGAACCAGCACAGGGACACCCCTGGCTCCCCCGGGTCACCTGAGCTGCCTGACGCCTTGTCAGGGCCCTAAGTGACCCCCCCCGACAGCGCCCAGGGGTGCAGGTCCAGGCAGGGAGGTGATGCGTGTGTGACTTGTTCAAGAGAGCACAGATGAAATCCAGCTGATCGAACATATGACAAATGGGCTGGGTCTGCCCATCTTTGGTCCCTGGGGAGCCGCATTTGTGACACTGAGTGATGTGGATCTGCCACTCACGACTCCCTCTGCCAGATTCTGCTGCCACAGGCCCCACAAAGGAACAGGGAGGATGACAGACTGTTTCCTGGTGATGGCTCTGGCAGAGCAGGAGGGCCAGGCAGCTGGTTGCGGCTCCGCAAGCTGAGCGGTCCCTGAAGTGGCAGAAAAGGGACCAGGGAAGATGGGCAGAGCTGGGGCAGCCCCACACCCTGAGGCCAAAGACCCGGCGAGGTCTGGCCAGGTTCACCCAGGGGAACGGACTGGCTCCCCAAGTGACTTCTGGGGTGTCTCCGCTTACAGGCGGCACCTTCCCGAGCGGCTCGCCCTCTCCCAGGCGCTGTCCAGAACCCGTGGAACGCAGAGATAGGGTCCAACCAGGAGGAAAAACACCCATTTGGTCCCCACCCCCCCTGCAGCAGGTACTGAGACAAAAATCCAAGCTGGAAAGCCACCTGGCTTTTCCAAGATTCTCTTGGGACAAGAGGATGATGGATGCTCCCGGAGATACAGGCTTCTGGGAACAAGTCCACTGGGGATGAGCAGCTGACCAGTCCCTTTCTTAAGGGGAAACAACTAACATGAGCATGTCAAAGGCTCTGAGAAGTCCAACGGAAAAGAGACCCATTAAGCTTTATGTCACCCAGGATTCTCAAAGGTATTTGGCCACCAAAGCTCATTTAAAAAAAAATAGCAGATTCCTTAATATCCCTCAAAATTGGTGACCCCGGGAACCCACTTTGGGAAATGCCACTGTCACCCAGTCCACCCTCTGCAGGGAGGGCAAGTGCTCAGACTGTGACGGCCGGGGTTCCAGACGACCATCGGGGTGATGGCATAGGAAGCCGGGGTGGCTCCCACAGCCTCTGCCTAATTCCCTGGGCTCCAACCCAAGGCCTCCTGACGCAGCCTCGTTTTCGCAGAGGCTGTTGCTGACATCAGGAGGTAGACGGCTTCAAAACATGCCTGTGAAATGCCTGGGCTGAAGCTACAGATCTGCCACCTCAAGTAGCACCTGTAAATTGGCAAAGAAAGCCCCCGATTCTGTGTCGGGGGGCAGCGGGCGGGACTCTCATCTACTGAGCACCTCTACGTGGCAGACCCTGGTCCAGATGCTTCACTTCGGTGTTCTCCCTTCATCCTGCCAACAGCTCTAGGAGGCCCACGTTGTCATTCCCATTTTATAGGTGAAAAAACAGAGGAAACTGAGGTGGTCAAGTTCCTGGGCTCGTTATGCTCCTAACCCTCTAAGACGGCAGAATAAGGAGATTTCATTTTTGGGGCAGATGCTTCCGTTTTGAAAAGGTCTGGGCTAGGGAAGGGATGCTCTCTCCATCCAGATCCTTGTGCACACAGGGGGCTGGCTGCCCACCTGTGGAGGATATTCGTGCAGCCCGACCAGCATACTGGTAAACGTAGCACAGCAGAGATTACAAATGCTTATAATTAGGCTCCTAATGCTCAGGTGATGATGGAAATCCCTGCCACCAGCAGCTCCGGCTGAAAACCAGCGGGCGGCACCGTGGGTGAAGTCCCACGCACACACACGCACACACACAGGGAAGAGCTGCCTGTTCTAGAATGATCGGGGCGGTGACAACTTCCAGCTCTAACATGCGGGTTCCTGCTGCTCACAACCCGGTGTCCTCTGCCCTGCCCAGCTGGTAAACCCAGGTGTGACCCCCACCGCAAGTCTTGCAGGGCACTGGAGGCAGCCAGAAGCACGCCCCAAACCTTGCTGGATGCTATAACTTGGCAACGCTGAGGTCCGAGAGCGGCCACAGACCACGCAGCCCCTGCAAGCGGCTCTCTGCAGAAACGTAAAGACTCCCAGCCACCAGGTCAAGACTAAAAGCAAGATCTGAAAGCCACAGTCCCGTTACTCAGCCAAGCCGAAATCTACCACCGACGAGCCTGTGATGATCATCTGTTTCTTACCAATTTATGACTACTGTTGCAAAAACACAACGGCTGTTGGCTCTTCTCATCGCAGAGCCTGGAAAACTGTTAACTTCAAGGCTGATTAACTACTTACTCTCCTTTTGGGAGACCTGAGCACAACAAGCATATCTTCATACATTTTTAGGAACCACATCCTTCCCCAAAATTAGCCTCCTGAACCAGAGAGAAAAAGGCAATCACATCTCACTTGCTCTGGCATTGGTCCAATCTACTGGTTCATGTAATGGAGCCCTCAGTTTGACCACCGCATATTTAACGGATGGCTTTGGGCCTCTTGAGGGCAAGTGAAAGGCCCCTGGTCCCAGAAGGACTACATTACCACTCGACCCTACATCCCACACATCCGGGCAGGCGGCCCAAGGCTCATCCCACCCAGGTATGAACCAGGATTCCTAATAACTGGTACTCAGCACACAGTGTGTCTACCAGTTTTCCTGGGGGAAATGGCTGCTGTGAAGCTGCTGTTCAGCCTTCTGGAGTCTGAGCCCCCTTCTGCACGGACTCAGACAACAATGCAGCTGGCATCCATTGGTTTCGTGCTGGGCTATGGCTTGGGGGGGTTCACAGGTAGTACTGGATAGGGGGAGGCCAAGAGAACAGAACTCCTGGTCAACTCCTCTGCCTCATGGAAAGCAGCTCTCTGTAGACATGAGCTTTTACGTTGGGTTTTCTGAAAGATGGGGCATGCAAACTCATGCCAAGAGGGTCCAGGCAGGTGATGTAAATGGATGAACTGGGCTAGATGCGAGACAGACAACAGTGTGATCACAATGAGAAATGACACCAGCCACGTGGCCACTGTGTTGGGGAGGCAGGAGGGAGTGGTGGGGACTGTGGCAAACGGGAGAGCACATGCTCTGTGAAAGGAGGCAGCGGTGGTCGGCCCTCCAGCCAATTGTTGCCCCTGCAGGAAAGTGGCCCGAGGACTGCCAGAACTGGCTTTTCAATGTCAGCTGCAAATCAGAAGTTTTACATAAAATCTCCTAATGTTCAAACATTGGTAACTAATTTTAAAAAATTTTTAACTCCTTAGGCCAGGACGTGGAAAAAAATATTCTCCTGCTTAAAAAAAAAAAAAATAGATGCCTACCATCACGTACAACTCTCTGAGTTAGGGCAAGAAAATCGAGATGCAGAGAGGTTTGATGGCTCGCCTTGGTCACAGAGACAGCCAGAGGCACAGCCGGATCCGGATTCGTCCCAATGGGACCTCCACTCTCGCTCTTGAAAGGGAACAATGACCCCGGGCACGGCTGTGGCAGATGCGAAGGGCAGGGAGTGGAGGAAGTGTGGGGGGACATAGGCCATTGGTACCTGCAGTCGCCTTGCTTGCCGGAGATCCCGAGTTTGGCGTGCGGAACGTCTGGGTTTGGGTGGCTGGAGGGGTGCGGTGTAAGAGGGTGGCGCATCGGACCACGGAGGCCGGAGCCTTTTTCCCCGACTGGTTCGTCTGGGTCTTCGCCGCCACGAAGCGCGGAGATGGGGAGACCTCTGGATGTGAACACTCAGAGCCCGTGTCTGGATCGTCCGGCGGCTCCCACCCGGGGGCGGTACCTGAGAGGGTCACGCTCTCAGTCCCCGAGGGCTCGGAGCCCGCAGAGTGAGGGGCCTCCTGGGCCACAGGCCCCCATGCTCAAGGGTTGAAACCTCTTGTCGGTCCACAGAGACTAAAGGCTCTCACTCCCACCCAGAACTGGAGAAAGCCCGGGAGTCTAGAACCTTCTCCAGCTTCTCCTGGAAGGCAGCCTGATCGCCAGCTCACCCTGAGTGTCTCCTGGAGCCCACCGACCAGCCCCCTGGGTGGGTCACCCATAACCTTGACCAGTCCAGGCTCTGAGGGTCTAAGAACTCAACCTGTGACGCATGCCTGGGGCACCTGATTAGGTGACCCAGGCCCAAGGGCATTTTCTAGAACATTCACTTGCAAGCCTCTTCCTTCAAAGGCAGGCAGGCCGGGACGTAATGATGAAAACAGGCAGAGACGCGCCAGGGTTGACTGGTGGGGTGGGGTAAAAGCGGGGGGCCCAATGCCACCCCAAGGTTTTAGTGGAAGGGGCTCCGGTGCCCCCTGGCCACTGACTGAGAGTGGATGCTCTCAGGGGACAGTGCTCCACCCAGGGCCCGAGGCTTTGACTGAAATAAGGGCAGCACGTCACTGTGGTGTCTGGGGAACCCTGTGTCACCATTTCTCCTGCCTCCCTCACCTGAGTTCTCTGCAGAGGCTGGGGTCACTGAGAACACGGGGGCTGACACTCAAGTGGTCTCCACCTCTGGCAGTCTGGGGCAGGCAGTGGTCTGCCTCCTTCACACTGCCTGGGGCTGCAATCACCAGTGCTGGCGACCCCTGACCCTGGCCACACTCCCACATTCAAAACGAAAGAGGAGGGGGGCAGCGGTCTTCTCACTCAACGGCAACTCTCTCCCCTAAAGGCAAGAGGGGACCAGGCAGGAGGGACGGGCCCCTCTTTGATGCTGACCAGGCGGCTCAGAGGACCCACAGGAATGGGGACCATCCTGAGGACATCGTCTTGACTCAGGGCCTGGCCGGAGCACTGAACTGCCTGCGAAGGACCCAGCAGCTCCTTTCCTGCCTCTGGGGGCAAAGGAGGAGCCTCGTCACACCGCTGCTCCTGGGACAGCATCCATCCTGGCACCAGACACTCCACCCACGGCTTTCAGAGCCCAAAACAAAAAGGCGCTCCCTGGTCCTCCACCTCGGCCCACTCCTGGCAGATCGGGAGCCCAGGCCCAGAGAAGCAGGAGGCAGGGCCTAGCCCAAGGTCACACCGGAACCCACTCTTCAGAGTTTTGTTTACCACCTCGAGGCACTAAGGCGAGCTCAGAGGATTCAGGCTTCCCCTCCTCCCTTTGGAAGGTCACCACCTCCCTCCACCCAGAGTGGCAGCCAGATGCCCAGAGCTGGGGAGTCCCTCAGTCACGGCCCCCTTAAGTAGGCCCCCATCTGCACCACTTGAGCCCCCCCAAGGCCTCAGTGTGTGGAGAATTCAGGCGTCCCTTGCTGCCTCAACCCCCAGTCTCTGGAATCTTGTGTTCTGAATGAGGCCCGGAGAGTCTGGGGAGAAAGGACACCTCCATATGCTCCCTCCCACTCTCCCTCCTCCCCTTTCAGAGCCAAGGACCTCAGAGGCCCGAGTCCAACCAGAAGGGCGGCTCGTCTCATAACGTCCAAATTTTTTTTATGCTGAGGAAGATTTGCCCTGAGCTAACATCCACTGCCAATCTTCTTCTTTTTGTAGGTGAGCTGCCACCACAGCATGGCCACTGACAGACGAGTGGTGTAGGTCCCCACCCAGGAACCGAACCCGGGCTGTCAAAGCGGAGTGCGCTGAAGTTAACCACTAGGCCACCCGGTCTGGCCCTTCCAAATATTTTTTAGCCACAGAATAAACCTACACATCACACTCTGGGGGAGGCATCCAGAGTCCCATCTCTGACTTCTCCACTGTCACCCTCAAGCACGGTTTGGGGACACAGCTGGTGGTTCACTGGAACAGAACCGGCACTGAGTGTGGAGCGAGGCCAACCAGCCTGAGCCCCAGGTCTGTGACCTTCGGCCTCTGCCGTCTCGGACTCTACTTCCCCTCTCTTGGCCTTAGCTCCCCCAGCACACCCCTGATACCAGGGGGACACCCATCTCTGTGCTACCAACCTCACGGGCATTTTGTGAGAATCCAAGAAAGTCACAGAAGCACCATGAAGGATAAACGGCTCTTCAAACATGAGCAGCGATTACTAGTATTTTTTTAGGAATAAGGAAACCAAGGCCCAGAATGGTTAACAGTTTACGGCCACACAGAAAGTTAGTGCCAGGATGGGACAGGAGCTCAAACCTGCCGGCTCCTCAAGGAGGCCTCTGCACGAGGCCATGTGGTCCCCTTCAGCACTAATCCACACACCCCGGGGACCTGGGCACAGGGGACAGAGAATTTCTGAGCGATAAATTCAGCACGCTGCTTTCTCTCTTAGGCCTCAGTGTCTAGCCTACAGAATGGTTTCTAGGAGACCCTCCGAGTCGGGCCTTCTCATGGTCTACAATCTGGCTGTCAAAATCCTGGCATTCCACGTGCGAGTGCCCCTCCTCCCCTGCGGCAGGGAGCTCAGGGACCCCCACAGAGCACGTGATATAAGAAACCCTAGGGCATCTGTTTTCTCAACCACCCAGCAGCCTGGGACCTGCTCCCCTCTCGCCCTCTCCCGTTCTACAATATCCTTTTTCTTCTGAGGTTCATGGCCTTTGCACATGCTATTCCCTCTGCCAGCAATGTTTGTCCCTCCAATTTCTGCCCGGATAACTGCTTCTGGTCCTACACACCTCCACTTAAACATCACTTCCTCTGGCCACCCTCCCTGATATTCCCCTGGTCATTTATCTTTCAGCCCCCTCTCCTCTTCCCTTCCGAGATCTGATCGCCATCGGTAAGGACACGCGGTACGATCTTTCGATCGATGTCTGTTTCCCCATTAGCCTGCAAGCTCTGTGAGGGCAGGGACTCTGCCAGTTTTCCCCGACCGCGTACTGAGTGCCTGGAACATTCCCTGACACACAGGAAGCGCTCAACAGATATTGTGGAATCAGAGAATCAACGCAGGAATGATTCAGAACCGCTGAACACGTCAAAGATGGGATGCCCAAGAGATGACATACGAAGCTGTGTCACATGTTATCCTTGCAATGGCCCGCAGAGCATGAGGCAGATGGGTAGGCAGAGGCTCCGAGAGGTACACCACCACTCCAGGGTCAAAGGGCAGGTTGGGGCTGAGCCAGGACGAACTGCCCAGGCTCTGAACCCATTTCACGCAACAGCTCGCTCCATCTGTCGACCTTCCCACATGCAATGTTATCAGCTGGAATTCCTACCTGGGCTTTCACTGAGAAAGGAAGAAAGAGCTTCAGACAGACTGGCTGATCGCCCTTGTAAGAAGCATACGAGATATTTACCCATAAGAGATATTTTAAAATAAGAGAACACCATGGTCTCTCCTTTCTGTAAAGCTTTGAAAATTTAAATGGAGCGAAAATTCCCGAGAATACAAGGATTCGAGAAAAGTAACTACGCAGCTGAGAGGGTGGAGGGACCAGGGGGTCTCCTTGAAACCCTCACTAGGCAGAAGGGGGTGGAAATGCATTCGAGGCAAATGGGAAGAGTGTGCTCAAGGGCTGGAGGTGGGAATGAATGGGAGACGTGATGCAAGAGGAGTGTCAATTTGGGAAACCCTACTCCCTACTAAGGATTTTAGCCTTAGAAAGAGAACTGGAGACCTTACACCTCTGGCCAGGATGGAGCAACTGGTGTGGGACTAACCCTCCTCCCTATTCAACTGCAAGGCTGGACAAAACACATGAAATGACAGTTTTCAGACCTTCAACAGCAGGCGGCGCAGGACTGTGATTCAGGAAAGAAGACCTGCCATGAGCCCCACCGTCACTCCACCTCTCTGCCTGGAGAGATCTGGACCACAGCACAGAGGTGGACCCAAAGCACAGCGATCTCGCAGAACGGAGGAGGCAGTGATCAGGGTTCAGGGCTTCTGAGGTGGCTGGATTTTGCAATGTAGAATAACAAAGAGGAGGGAATTGTGCAAAAAAAAAAAACAAACAACGCTGGAAACGTGCACAGGGTCCCCATGAAGTCTTTGGCTGAATGTCAAACTGATTTGTGCAGAGGGAGCCTCTGCAAAGGCTGCGGCAAACAGCCACTGGGGGCTGTGAGCTGAGTGAGGATCCGGAGGTTGCACAGGTTTGGAGATGTTTGAGTTCCCACCTGCTGGAGAGGAGAGACCTTGCTGAACACCTTGGGCATTCAACTGAGACCTGGAAAGCCTGTGCTTCAGAAGGCTTACTCTAACCCTAGAACATGAACTACTCTAGCCCTGCCCTAACACAGCTTAAAAACAAGCCTTTGAAATACCAAGCTGACCTGTAAGTAAATTAACTGCCTGTCAGAACAAAATCCAACCTTTTATAAAGGAAGATAACAAAATCCAGACACTCAACAACAGAGCACCTGCAATGTGCAGCAAAGAATAAAACATTACTCATCAGGTGATGCAGGAAAATGTGACTGATAATCAAGAGAAAAAAACAGTCAGTAGAAACATACAGAAATGACAGGGATGACGGCATTTGCAGACAAGGACCTTAAAGCAGCTATTATAAATACGCTCAAAGATTTAATGGATAATATGAACATAATGAAGAAAGGAATGATGTAAAAAGGAACCAAGCAGAAATTACAGAGATGAAAAATATGGTTGCTGAAATGAAAAATTCAACTGAAGGATTTTTCTAATAAAACCGATTAGACACTGTAGAAGAAAAGATCAGTGAACTCGAAGACAGGGCACTAGAAACAGTCCAAATTGAAGCACAGAGGGAAAACTACACTGAAAATTTGAACAGTGCTTCTGTTGATCTGTAAAATGGTTTAACATACATGTAATGAAAGTCTCAAAGGGAGAGGAAAGAGAGATTGGGGAAGAAAAATATTTGAAGAAATATTGACTGAAAACTGTCCAAATTTGATTAAAAAAAA